TGAAGTTGGAAGGCTGGACATTACCACATATAATAACTTTATCCAATGAATAAAGTTCATCAAACATGCAGAGAATTTGAAAGAACGGTATCTCTAGCACCTTGATTGAACCATTGCCAACTTCTTGGCCGGTTTGCTTTCTCTCTCTCCCTCTTGCTCTACGTGTAAATCTCCACTGTTATCAGTCAGAAAGCTGTGTTTCAATCGTGAAGTCTGGCTTGGCCGTTCAGAACTTGGCTAATTTCATAATCTTTTTTTCACGTGAGTTCTTTATCTGCAGCAGGAGTCCTATCTCCTAGGATTGATTGTGAGATCTTAATGGGATGATAGGTGTCCGATACCAACTCGCTGAAATTAGTGATTTGTGTAACTGAGGAGCCCAGAGAGTTAGAGCTGGACTTCAGGCTTGGCTGGATCCAAGAGCTCAGCATTAATTCTCTTTTCCTATCTTTTGGCTTCATTAGACAGGCTCTTATTTATTTATTTATTTGTTTATTTATTTATTTTTAAAGATTTTATTTATTTATTTGACAGAGAGAGACACAGTGAGAGAGGGAACACAAGCAGGGGGAGTAGGAGGGGGAGAAGCAGGCTTCCCGCCGAGCAGGGAGCCTGATGCGGGGCTCGATCCCAGGACCCTGGGATCATGACCTGAGCCGAAGGCAGACGCTTAATGACTGAGCCACCCAGGCGCCCCTATTTATTTATTTTTTAAGTAAGCTCTGCACCCAACATGGGGCTTAAGCTTATGACCCCAATGTCAAGAGTTACATGTTTTGCCAACTGAGCCAGCCAGGTGCCCCCTAGACAGGCTCTTAAATCATGGTAGCAAGAGGGTCCTGGGGTTACCTCTTGACCTCTAATCAGACCAATGGAAATGGCCATTCCCTGTCCCCCTCTATCTCCTCCCCACTGCCCTAGACCCTAGGTTTAGTTGGACCAGGGTCATGTAATCCTGCCACGTTACTGAGACTACGGTGTTTGAAAAATCTGGTTGGAGGTTGATCAAGTGCCATACCTGGAGGGGTGGTGTTGGCGATTCTGTGGCACTGTTTGTACCATATGGTCTCTGAGACAAGTAGGGGTGCTTCTCCCCAGTGCAAGGGAGAAGGCAGCAAAAAAACTAAAAAAACCCCCAAAAAACAAACAAAAAAAAACCCTAAAAAAATGTTCAGCACAGCAATTGAACATGAAATGATTGATAGCAGTCATAGTTTGAGTTATAATTTTTAAATTCTGGAGCCTTTCATATGTGCTCTCTTTCCTCACCTCCACCTACTCTAAAGTTTTGAAATTTTTTTTTTTTTTTAAGATTTTATTTATTTATTTGACAGAGAGAGTGAGAGAACACAAGCAGGGGGAGCAGTAGAAGGAGAGGGAGGAGCAGGTTCCCAGCTGAGTAGGGAGCCCGATGCAGGGCTCAATCCCAGAACCCAGGATCATGACCTGAGCCGAAGGCAGATGCTTAACCAACAGAGCCACCCAGGCGCCCAAGGTTTTGAAATTTTGAATGACTAATAGTCTTCCCCTTTCTGCTCTTGCCCTCAAAATGGAGCAGGTGGGTAGAGTCTCCCAAGGTCTCTGCCCTGGATGTGAATGCTTGGCCTGGTGCTGGTGGGCTTCACATTCGTGGGCCGGTGTCTTCACCTGAGTTTTCCCAGGAGCAGGTCCTGAGATGAAATTTTGGGTTCAGGTGGTTCATTTGAGAGGTGGTCCGAGAAATCGCACGTCTCAGGGAGTGGGACAGTGAGAGAGCGAAGGGAAGGAAGCCGGCGCGTGGGCAGCCACCCATGTGGCAGGCAGCTGGGCCTGGCCCACTGGGAGCCTCTGTGGTGCACACTTCATCCTCACCCCCCTGGAGGACGGGCTGCTCCTGCTTCCCTCTCTTGTGGGGTGACGGCTCCTCTCAGGGCCACTTGCGCCCTTCACATCTGACTTCCCCGGAGTGGCTCTTAGGAGTTGGCCAAGAGAAAGGCTGCAGGGCAGCGTGGCAGGTAGAGAGGCAGCTGGCCTGGGCTGGGCTGTGCGAATCTGCCTCTGTAGTCATCTGGGCCCCCGGCAGGTGTTCAGGGATGAGGGAGGCTGAGGCCATGACATTTGTAGCAGGGAACTTATTCTCTGCCTGATTTTCTTTTTCTTTTTTTTCAGATTTTATTTATTTGCGAGAGAGAGAATGAGAGACAGAGAGCATGAGAGGGAGGAGGGTCAGAGGG